AAAAACAAGCAAATAAACGAACGGAACATAAAACAATGTCTGAGTCCCTCCATTAGAGATTCTGACTTAACAGGACCCAGCCCTCAGTGTTTCTTAAAGCTCCCCCAGGTGACTGCAGCGTGTAGCTGAGAGGCACTGATCTACGTGGGAAAGATTAGTGCTTCCATTACCTCTGAGAGAAAGAGAAAGAAGCTTTTACTTTTCTATAATCTCCACCCTGTGTGGGGAGGGGAGAGGACTAAAGATTATAGATGAATTATTCCACTTACAAGGTGAAAAAGACATTTTCATTATAAACTGGATAAATGGCTAACGGTGTGAATCCTCTAGTTGGTGTCTTGGTTTCTTGTTTAGAGGTATCCAATATGACGAGAAGAGACATGACCAGAGATGTTTAAAGACAGCGTAAGGAGCCAGTCTGGAAATACGTGTGAGGCAGCCAGATTAGCATGTGGGTTGTTAGTGCATGCTCATGTGCCTGCACGTGAGTGCACACACACACACACACACACACACACACACACACTGGAGCTGCTTGCTGATGTCAGGTGGATGCCCTTTGATCCTGGATAAGTGAAATAATCTCTGCTTTTGGTGTTAAATTTAGCTAATATCTAAGTGCCGGAGATAGCTGGTGACAGCTGGGAGGGTGCTCAGAAATAAAGCACTGTTGTTGTTGTTTTTAGGTGCTGTTGAGTTGGTTCCAACTCATGGTGACCGTATGTTTAACAGAAGGAAACATTGCCCAGTCCTGCGCCATCCTCACAATAGCAGGTATGTTAGAGCCCATCGTTGCAGCCACTGTGTCAGTCCATCTCACTGAGGGTCTTCCTCTTTTTCACTGACCTTCTGCTTACCAAACATGATGTCCTTGTCTGGAGCCCTGGTGGCACAGTGGTTAAGAGCTATGGCTGCTAACCAAAAGGTTGGCAGTTTGAACACGCTCCTTGGAAACCCTATGGTGCAGTTCTACTCAGTCCTATAGGGTCACTAGGAGTTGGAATCAGTTCGATAGCAATGAGTTTGGTTGGGTTTTTTTGGATGTCCTTCTATTCTCCAGGGATTAAAATGCTGTTACATCTAAACAATGTAGCTGTTTTTACTTTTTTCCATTCTTGAAGTAATATACAAAAGACAATTGGGAAAACAGAAAAATAGAATGAACCATAGCAGAAACTAGTAATAATTGCTAATTCCTATATAGACTTATCGGGTGCTAGACATGGTTCTAAGCTCTATACCACATTAATTCATTTACTCCTCACTACAACTCTATGTTGTTGTTAGTTGCTGTCAAGTCGATTCTCACTCATGGAGACCCCATGTGTACAGGGTAGAACTGCTCCATAGGGTTTTCAAGGCTGTGACCTTTCAGAAGCAAATCTCCAGGCCTGTCTTCTGAGGTGCCTCTGGTGGGGTTCAAACTGCCAACCTTTTGGCTACTAGTTGGATACTTAACTGTGCCGCTCAGAGACCTTACAACTCTATGAGGTAGATGCTATTTGTAAGTCCATTTACAGATAAGGAAAGAGGGCCTGGAGCAATTAGGTGACTTGCCCAAAGTTGCTCAGCTAGTAAGAGCAATCAGGATTTGAACTCACTGCATTTGGTGTGATATGATCAACTGCTCAGAGATACAGCTCAGAAAGTTAGCTGCATTCAAGCATTCAGTGCCAGTGTTGCTGAAGTTGCAGAAGTTAATCTCAATTGTCATTCACTTAGTCATTTACCTCACAAATATTTATTGAGGGCCATCTACCTGTAGTATCCTGTTTCAGGCTTGATTATCAATATATTGAAGAAGGCTACCTGTCCAATCTTAGAGCATTGAACTCTCAAATAGCTCAACAAAATAATACACATATAGTCAACACAAATCTAGTAAGAATAAAAATACTGTAACTATTCCCTGATGACAAAATCCAAAACTGATATTCAAAACTTTTGGAATGTCACACACCTACTAGACGGAATATTTAGCATTTTCCTTTGTATTTCCATTTCTTAATAAACATACCTTGGACAATAATTTAAGGTGAATTTCATGAATTTGGCTTTGTGGAAATATGTTTAATATAGCAGTATTGTCTTCAACTCAGTAATTTGACGTTTATTGAATGGATGGATGGGTGAGTGGATAGATGGAAGGGTAGACGAATAAATAAATGAACAACAATGGCTGGCAATGTCCTAGGTGCTTAAAAATTGGATCTGAAAAAAAGAATTTAGTGTTTTCTAGTTTGTTGTAATTAAAAATTATGATTCAGGAGAAAGTTTTGATTTCTATCGTTTCCATGGACTGAATAAATAACTTTAAGCAAGTCATTATAAGCCAGTTTCCTCATCTGTAAAATACAGATGATAACAGTGCCTACCTCATCAGACTGGTGTGAGAACTAAATGAGGTAATGCATATAAATTATTTAGCACCTTGCCTAATATATGATAAAGAACATATTTTAAACTGCCTTTTAATTGGAGAAGTAATGCATGTAAAAAAAAATCAAATGGTACAAAATGGTATACAATATAAAATAATTCTTTGACAAAGTTTTCTGTTATTACTATTATTATTATATTCCCAAGCAATAATAACATTTCACAACTAATTAAGAAGAGAAAATGTTTACAAACCTGTGGATAACAACATCTGACTCAGAACCAAGTGAAATAACACAAGTATTCTGGCTAAATTCCAGTGTGAGTGATTAACATTCTCCAGCTTCAAATAATTTTTATTATTAGCCAACATTTGTCCATCCCCAATAATACACATGTTGCATAAAGGACACAGAAGGAGACAGTCCTCCCTTGGCGTGTTCATAGCCTACACACACTTTCCACTAAAAGTTTCCCTTTCTTTTTGACTGCTGTTCCATAGCTTTCCAACTCCCACTACTTTTATCCCGGCCGTGTTTGCTGGCCCAGAGGGCCAAGTATTTAAATATGAACACCTGTAGAATTCCAGTGAACGAAAAATGTAATGTACACTTTTAACATATTTATTCATAGTTTTGATGTCTGTGAAGCGACTGATATTTATTCCTTTTAACTTCGAGCCTGAGATTAATACACATATTCTTCATTATTTCCCACTAAGTAGGACAGAGGAAGACTATTGTGCAATTTAGTCTCCCAGTATATACAAATGGGATCCAGGACAGAAGATCAACAATGAACTGCGGTCGAGTTTAGCGCTTTAGTCCACTGCTCAAGTCCTTCCAATCTCCCCAGGGCCTCCAGCTTATTTTTGCCTTCATCCTAGTGGAGGGGGAAGGGGGATGGGAAACAATTCAAACCCCGTTTGTATGCATGTGAATGAATTTCAAGTATGCGAAACACCTCAGTCTTCTATCTAATTAGAACACGTAGAAAAGAAGCAGTTTTAGTACATTTAAAACGTGCAGTGTAATAACCCATCTGCGCGCCCCCTCTGCGTGTCCCTGCAGTGGAGGCTCCCAGCAGGTCTTCTACGAGCCTGGCTGCACCGTGCGCCTCGGGCAGCCCCGGGTTTCGGCGCTCTGTCGGTTACACAGCCCAGAGCCGGTGTTGCTTCTCTTTGCAGGCAACTTCGTAACTGCCTGGGATAATAACTCTCACCTGATAAAGAACTAGCATCTCTTGAATCTTTCAGAGACAAAAAGAAAACCACCTTTTTTTTTTTTGGTCACAACAACCGGATATTGTTATGAAATGCAAAAGTAAAGGTTGAAGTCTGGGGAATATCGATATGATTGGGGATGCCAAATAAAACTGAGATTGTGGTTGGGATCGCGGATTTGCCGTTTAGGCTCATATTCTAGGAATACCGCTGTGAACAAGATTGTCCAGGTTGCGGCTATCTTGGGGAACTATTAGCTAGGTTGCCTAGGTCAAGTTTTTAAGCCTCGGTTTCTTCACGTGTAAAGGGTACCTGCCACACAGGATTGTTGCAAGGATGTGAGATATTGCATCAAGATGCAAACATCTAATTCTCTGTCCCGCACAGTGTTGGCTCTTCTCCCGACGTCAGCTCATCCCGTACAAGGACAGCGCCCAGAGGAGACAGGTGCCATGGCTAAAAATGATTCTTTGGGCAGTTCCTTTAAACAAACGCCGGACTCTGTACGATGTTTAGCTGCAGAGGGGAGACTTGCTAGGAGCCCGAGGAGCAAAGGTTCAGAAGCCAGACACCGAGAAAAGTGAGCCTTGCACCCGCTAACAGACAACTCGAGAAGGACTTGGGAGGTTTTCCCGCCGGGGTTCTCAAGGCAGCCAGATTAGCATTCGCCCCGCCCCCGCCGCTTCCCGGCCTGCGATTGGCTATCGCTCCTCGGCTGCCCGCTCCGGACCCGGCCACAGGGCCATAGGGGTGAGGCCAAGTCCGCGGGGCAGTGGGCGGGGACGCGCGGAGAGCTCGGGTTGGGGGGAGCAGCCACCAACAGAGCCTCTGAGCGAGGGGGCGGGGCCGGGGCGGGGCCTCCCGGCGGGCATTAGAGGCAGGTGACCCGGGCGGGGCAGGAGAGGCCAGTCCGCCGGCGGCGGAGACTCCGCCACTCCAGCGGCCGCTGTGTGCCGAACAGTGCCTACCGGAGGTGGAGGAAAGGGTGCCAGAGCGCGGGGGAGGAGCCGAGTCGGGCGCGTCCCGGGAGCGCCGCTACCGCCCCCCGGAGTCCGCTGGAGCGCAGAGCCCCCTGCAGGGGAGGAGGCGAGCGGACGGCGGGCGCACACCATGCAGTCCCGGCGGGGCCAGCGCCGACTGCTCTCGGTGCTGTGAGGCGGCGGGATCCCCCGGCCGCCGCACCCCGCCTTCCTCCCGCCCAGGTGCTGCTCGGCGCGCTCTCCTTGCGTCCGGCTCCCGGACCGGGTGGAACGCACGGCCTGTCCCAGCCCTGCCCCGCCCGGATCATGCGGGGGGCCCCGGAGGAGGAGAAGGCGAGTGACTGGCCTGCCCCGACAGCGTTCCGGGGGCGCCCCCTGCTCTGAGACGCCCCCACCTGCTGCCATGTGCCGTCACGGAGACCCAGCCTCTTGCCAAACTTTCTCGGCGCCGGCTCGGCTCGGCTCTGAGTCGCGTTTCTGAGCAGAGTGTCCGAGGGACGAGGACCCAGGGCTTCGGCTGGCTGCGGACTGTCTGCTCCTCTCAGCAGGACTCACGGAGGTAAGAGCCCGCGCCTCCTTTCTCCCCATTCTTCTCTTGATTCCTCTATCCTTTCCTGGGGGTCTGAGCGCTTTTATCCCGGCGTGCAGCCTGGAAGGCCCAGCCAGGACAGGGCGGGGGGTGGTTGGAGGTTAGTAGTTTCAGAAGGTGGAGGGGAGGGAAGGCAGAGAGGTTAACGTAGAGATTTGGAGACCACTTGCAGGGACGGAGCTTTTGACGCCACTGTAATAGGCAGTGATTGCATTTTTTTTTTCTCCTCCCAGCTTTTTTTAAAAGAGTTTTTTCCCTGGAATCGGAACCCTAATCCTCCCTCCCCAGCCCGATCGGGCGAGGAGCTGCGCTCGGCCAGTGGAGGCAGTGCCTTTCCGAAACAGCTTATCTTTGGACGGATTTCTTCGAAAGAAAAAGAAACCAACAGGTTGCCAGCCCCGGCGACGCACACCAGTCGGAGAGGGAAGCTGTAGGTCGGCTCTCTTGCCTGCGTGGACCCCGCTGCGGGAGGCAAAGGGAGGGACGGGGCAATGGCTCGGCCTGACCCGTCCGCGCCGCCCCCGCTGCTGCTGCTGCTTCTAGCGCAGCTGGTGGGCCGGGCGGCGGCCGCCTCCAAGGCCCCAGTGTGCCAGGAGATCACGGTGCCCATGTGCCGCGGCATCGGCTACAACCTGACGCACATGCCCAACCAGTTCAACCATGACACGCAGGACGAGGCGGGCCTGGAGGTGCACCAGTTCTGGCCGCTGGTGGAGATCCACTGCTCGCCGGACCTGCGCTTCTTCCTGTGCTCCATGTACACGCCCATCTGCCTGGAAGACTACCACAAGCCGCTGCCGCCTTGCCGGTCAGTGTGCGAGCGCGCCAAGGCCGGCTGCTCGCCGCTCATGCGCCAGTACGGCTTCGCCTGGCCCGAGCGCATGAGCTGCGACCGCCTCCCAGTGCTGGGCCGCGATGCCGAGGTCCTGTGCATGGATTACAACCGCAGCGAGGCCACCACGGCGCCCCCCAGGCCCTTCCCGGCCAAGCCCACGCAACCAGGCCAGCCAGGGGCGCCGGCCTCCGGGGGCGAGTGCACAGCCGGGGGCCCGTCGGTGTGCAAGTGCCGCGAACCCTTCGTGCCCATCCTGAAGGAGTCGCACCCGCTGTACAACAAGGTGCGGACGGGCCAGGTGCCCAACTGCGCGGTGCCCTGCTATCAGCCGTCCTTCAGCCCCGACGAGCGCACGTTCGCCACCTTCTGGATCGGCCTGTGGTCGGTGCTGTGCTTCATCTCCACCTCCACCACGGTGGCCACCTTCCTCATCGACATGGAGCGCTTCCGCTACCCCGAGCGCCCCATCATCTTCCTGTCCGCCTGCTACCTATGCGTGTCGCTGGGCTTCCTCGTGCGCCTGGTCGTGGGCCATGCCAGCGTCGCATGCAGCCGCGAGCACAGCCACATCCATTACGAGACTACAGGCCCAGCGCTGTGCACCGTCGTCTTTCTGCTCGTCTACTTCTTCGGTATGGCCAGCTCCATCTGGTGGGTCATTCTGTCGCTCACCTGGTTCCTGGCGGCCGGCATGAAGTGGGGCAACGAGGCCATCGCGGGCTATGCACAGTACTTCCACCTGGCCGCGTGGCTCATCCCAAGCGTCAAGTCCATCACGGCATTGGCGCTAAGCTCTGTGGACGGTGACCCGGTGGCTGGCATCTGCTACGTGGGCAATCAGAACCTCAACTCGTTGCGTGGCTTCGTTCTGGGCCCGCTGGTGCTTTACCTGCTCGTGGGCACGCTCTTCCTCCTGGCGGGCTTCGTGTCGCTCTTCCGCATCCGCAGCGTCATCAAACAGGGCGGCACCAAGACGGACAAACTGGAGAAGCTCATGATCCGTATCGGCATTTTCACGCTGCTGTACACAGTGCCGGCCAGCATCGTGGTGGCCTGCTACCTGTACGAGCAGCACTACCGCGAGAGCTGGGAGGCGGCCCTCACCTGCGCTTGCCCGGGCCCCGACGCTGGCCAGCCGCGCGCCAAGCCCGAGTACTGGGTGCTCATGCTCAAGTACTTCATGTGCCTCGTGGTGGGCATCACGTCGGGCGTCTGGATCTGGTCGGGCAAGACCGTGGAGTCGTGGCGGCGCTTCACCAGCCGCTGCTGCTGCCGTCCGCGGCGGGCTCACAAGAGCGGCGGCGCCACGGCTGCCGGGGACTACGCCGAGGCGAGCGCGGCGCTCACGAGCAGGACCGGGCCGCTGGGCCCCGCCGCCGCCTACCACAAGCAGGTGTCTCTGTCGCACGTGTAGGAGGCCGTGGCGTTTGGGGGGGGGTTGTTTGGTAGCTTTGCCAAGGTCACTTCCGTTTACTTTAATGGTGCTGATGCCGCCTCCTGGGGCAGCTTGGAGAGTGGGAAACGGTGCAGTTTCAAGGGAGTACCTGCCCCAGGACTTCTCAGAGGGGCTCAGCTCACTTGTATTCTATTTTGCGTTTCTTACCACCTTCTTTAGGGGAACCTTGTTTTTAATTTATATGTATTTTGCTTAATGTTTAACTTTGTTGCATTTTGGCAACAAAATTTACCTTTGCTTTGGGGGCTTTACAATCCTATGGTTGGCATTATAATGAAGTTCCACTTGGTTCAGGTTTTTTTGAACTGTGTGATCCAAATTGGGAAAATACATTTCCTATACGTGTCTTTAAAAAAAAAAGTGTACAGTTAAAGTTTGGGTTGCCATGTCTGGAAAGTTGTTGGATGTGCTTTTTCAGCTAGTTTCTCCTTCCACTGCTTAAAGTGTCCAAGATGCTTTTTAAGGTGAGCTGCTTGTCCCTGTTTATTGTTCCAAAATCAGGAGAAGCTCCAGGTCATAACAAGGAGGGGAGCGTAGCGTGTTTAGGGCCTTCCAAAAGTGGCAAGGTTAGGGAGTGTTTAGTGATTTTTGTGTTCGTCCTTAGCTTTGTTTAGCGAGCTTCAGTTTCTTTTCTGTAGTTCTTATAATCATTCTCATTTTTAACAGTGCCAGCATTGTGTTCTGAGTAAGTTAGAGGTAGCATTATAAAGGGCCCGATATAAATATTTGGAATAGTGAGAACCTAAGGGACGGTGGTGGGTCAAGATTGAATTCTAAACTGGGGAGTTGGCAGTTTTGTGCCAGAAAAGGAGTGGGTGGTTCTTAATAAGCTTAAGTGATCCTTTTTTTTTTTTAAAGGGAACTTGTGTTATACTTTTGGTAAAAGTAAACCCACTCCTTACTTCTGGAAGTACTTAGTGATAGTTGCTAAAAGGAGCTCCTTTTTACATTTAAGGACTAAAATGGATATAACTCCAGTAATTAAATTTCCAACACTTATCTGCTCCACACCCACACACCTCCTTTATCACGTTAAACAGTCATTTTGCTTTTCTTATTCCTCCTCTCCTGGAGAGCTGTGATTAGAAACCACACCCACCCTAGAAGGAGGTGCTTGAACCTGGGGATAGGGGAGGGAGGCTGGCTTCATACCTGTGAACAAACATTGGCCACCATGAGGGAAAATAAGTGTCCCTGGACTTTGGACTAGTTTACAGACAGATATTTCAAAAGCAGCAAGACATTGCTCTCTACAGTCTCCGAAAACAAGTGAGACACGTAACACTTGCATAAGCTTTTATTTTTTCAAATGGATCAGTGTAATGCTACAGCTCAAGAGGAAAGCTCCTATTTCTCCCTACTTCAATACATTTTCTTTTCTTTGCAATTAGAGAATTCTGTTTGCTCCCCTAATCTTTTTAACCATTCCTGCATTCGTATATGAAAGCTTATATATTAATGAACACACACAGGTTTCTTTGCTGTTAGAAAATTCTGTTTGTTTTCCTAATGTGTTTAACCATTCATTCATGAAGAACAGGAGGCCATTACAGGGGAAGGGGGTGACGGTGCATGGGCCAGCAAAATACCAGTGTAATTTTGGGACCAGGAATGAGTGGGGGCTAAATTTAGGAAGCATGGCCAAAAGCAGTTAGAATTGGAGAACGCCTCCCTAGGAAAACAACTGGAGTCTAGCCATTTGCACTTCATTTATACCAAAGTTGCAAAGTAAAATTTAAGCCCAGATCAATTTCTACTTCATGGATATTAAGTAGATAAATGCGTGGTTCCCACTGGGAATGTAAACATCTTTCTGATGGGGAGAGGACTGGTATTACAATTTTAACGACTCTCAAAAGCTGTTCACATGTATAAAAGTGCAGTGCTTTTATACACTTATCCTCTGATTCAAAATTAAAATTTCAGTGGATTCAAAAAACCTAGTATACATAGCTACAAAACTTTCTGCCTATCTTATTCTGCTTATTCAGAAGCTTCTTCCTAGAACCTTGCAGTAGATCTTGGCTGGGGACCAATTCCTCTCCTGTTTTTTCAAATGAAGTCTTCTTCTAATCACCTTGACCTCTGCCCACATTTAGTGTGTCTTCCCAGTGAGTACATAGATTGTTCTGCTTCCTTCTGCAGTCATTGTGCCTAATTTGGACTGTCCCTCCTTCATTCCTTTTGCGGAGAAATCTAGGAACCATGCAGAGTGTATCTAAAAGTTGTGAGATGAAGTGGTCAAAAGTAATTTAATTCTTCATTTAAAAAAATGTTTTTTACATTAACGTGCCAAACCAGATACACTTAAAAATGAAGACAGTCAAAACAAGACACTAAGGTCTCCCCTTTGGGATCTAATTCTGTATGTTTGTGAACTGGTCATTACTCCAGACCAGCTCTGAGAGGTGCCTCTTTGTTTTCAGTCTCTAACCTCACCCCTGCTCTTTCTCTCCCTTCCCTCATCCCCTAAAGGAGATAAAGCCCACCTGCTTCCCTAAAGTCTTACTAATGTCAGCCACCCCACCCCCTGCCCAGGGGAGAGAAGCCAAATCTGTTTATGGTCACCCCTATTTCCATCCCATGCACTGTTTTCCCCTGATTTTTGAATGTTTAATTATGAAAACAATCCATACTCATGAAAACAATTATAAAATGAAAGGTTGAAGGGTAGCTTAGCAACTTCACAGCTGGCTTTGCAGAGTTGGAGAGAACATGGGGCCCAGTTTAGTCCCAGATGTACTAAGAGCTGTCCCTTTCACAGTTCACTTTTACACAACATCTCACCCATACGGGAGGTGTGAGGATTTGGATAGAAGCTTGTCTAATGGAACGCATCAGCTGACCGGATTTTAGGAAGCCTGTTTAATTTATATTATTTTCCTCTTCACATTTTGAAATTGTCTAAATTGGCTAGAAATAATTTTTCTGGGTGCCTTATTGGTTTATACTTTCAAACCTTTGTCATATTTTCATGTGACTATTTCCAGTGACTAGGGCGTGTGTGGGGTGGGGGAGGGTGTGTAATTGTGTGCATGTACAAGCTTAAATAATGTGCCGGCAGCACTGTTTCAAAGTTGGTATTCATTAGGCTGTTTCCTCCTGGGCCAGGGCTGCACTGATCCTGACACTGGCTGCCAGGAGCAAACCTCATGGATCACACACCAAACCTTAATAACAGCATCTGTGACCTGCACTCTTAAGTACAGAACGGGAACCCCAGAGCTAGGAAATGTAGTTCTATATTTTAATGAACTGCTACCCCTGCTAAAGAGGCTTCTTTCACTTTTGTGTTCCACAGAAAGACCAAGGGGGGTGGGAAGGACAAAGCTTTGAATAACTGCTTTCTAACACAGAATGTGGCAAACAGGACGGAGAACATCACAAACCCAGGCAGGTGTGAGGTATAGTGGCTAAGAATTGCCTGCTCTCTCTACTTCCCCTTTCTTGTCTCCAAAAGCCCAATCAAGCGATCCTGGGAAGGAAGTATGCCTGGGTTGGGGAGGGTAGTTCTGAAAGCAAAGGCTACCAAGAAATTAACGTAGGCTGAGGGATAGGCAGGATGCAAGTAAATGAGTAACCTGACTGAAAAATCTCAAAAGCTTCTAGCAGCTTGATGACAATTACAGGATTTCACCCAGAATAATGTATGTGGTATATTATTTTAAGACAATATTACTTCATGTTGTTACAAACTGTATGTATAGTATGTATGTTTTGTGGGTGTGTATATACATAATATATATTATATATATGAGAGATTTAGTGACTTTTGATACGGGTTTGGTGCAGGTGAACTTATTACTGAGCCAAATGAGGCACATACCGAGTCAGTTGTTGGAATCCAGGGCATTCAATAATTTTTGTGATTTCGAGATAATAGGCATAGTGCCTGTCCCATGCAGTACAGTCACGTCAAATGGAGAACTCGTGAATCAGAGCCGGAGATACTGTATTTGTAGACAATCAGATCTGTAAATTATTACTGGCAGGTGATTATAATTCTGAATCCATGACATTAACAGAAGGAAACCCAGAGCAGCTTGGGAGGAAGTTTTTGTTTTCTCCCTGGAAGTGAGTAGAACAGCAGTTTTATGTGGTTATATTAGTCTCAAGATACTTTATTTGCTGGCCTTATTACTTTGGAAAAATTTTGTATGTATTATATTTGTGGAAAGGTAAAATAAAGGTTTCAGATTTTTATCAAATATGAAGATCAGCTATTTATGAAAAACAAAGAAATGTCTATTTTTGTTTCTTTGTTCCCAATTAATGTAGATAAAATTTAAAAAATGCATTAAAGCAATGGTAAAGAAAATAAAAAGATGCTGTAGATGTCTTTTTCTCCTCATGCTTTTATGGAGAGACACGGTGCTTTCTAAGAGTATCTGAGGAGATAATGTGTGGATTCCAACTTCACGATCAGATTTCTCAGGTGTGCTTAAAATCTAAGTGGCAAAGTTTTTAATAAGAAAGGTAAAGCGAATTCCAGCCTTTTATCAGTAGCTTTATAAATCATGACATTGAACATCTGAGAATGATAACGTCAGCAAAATCGCATGCTGCAACATTGTAGTACATATTACTAATGATAAGATGTCCAAAAAAAAAAAAAAAAAAAAAGACGGTAATAAGTGTGGTTCTTTGTAACTCCAGTATGTCGTAAGTCAGGTACTACCTTACTTTCTACTGGCTGCTGCTTTGAGAAAATGCAGATTAGCCACCAATCTACCAAACACCCACCTCATTTTAATGTCTGGTATTTTCAAGGTTCCCCAGCAATTCTTTGAGGCAAAAGTATGTGGGAGAACGTGGATAATTAGGTGCTTAAAATGGTGTTGTGGGAAATAAACCCATTAAGAGATGACTAACAATATGAGGGAGTATGTAATTAAATGTCTAAGTGAGTGCTATGACCTTTAGAATATGGTACATAAGTTAGGGCAGTTGGGAAAGGCAGAATAGAAAATATAGTAGTTGAGCTGGATCCTGACAGAAGAGCAACGGTACCTTACACATGAGGCCTGTATAGGTGGCACATCTTCCCAGTGGTTTCTCATTTACTAGGTGGAAAAGCGAGATAGCAAGCTGGAGCAGAGGAACTGTGCTGGACTTGGAAGGCTGGAGAAATAGGTTGAGCCAGATTATTATTGATACTAGTTGCTATTAAGTCAATGCCAACTCATGACAACACCATGTATGTCAGAGTAGAACTGTGCTCCATAGGGTTTTCAATGGCTGATTTTTTTAGGAGTAGATTGCAAGGCCTTTCTTCCGAAGTACCCCTGGGTGGACTTGAACCTCCAACTTTTCAGTAGGCAGCAGAGCGTATTAACCGTTTGCACCACCCAGGATACTCCTGCTTTAGTGATTTAGTTGTGAGCTCTTTAGTTTGTTACATTCTTTTTACACGTTGCAAACAGGGTAGAGAGGCAATAGAATGGTTATGAGCATAGACTTGGGAGCTAGACTATTGGGGACTCAAATCCCAGCTTTATCATTTTATGGGCTTTGTGATCGTGGACAAATTACTTAAGCTTTCAGTTCAGTACCTCGGTTTTCTTATCTGAGAAAGGGGGATAATAGTACCTATAGGGTGGAGAGGATTAAAAGGATTAAATCAAGTTAAGACAAGTAAGACAAAGTTAAGTAAGGCGAAGAGGAAGCAGCTATTTGGGATTGGAATGGGAAGGAAATTGAAAGAGAGACTAGGTTTTCAAATTTGAGTCTGCATAAGAATCCTTTGGGGCTCTCTCTTGTTGAAAATGTAGATTCCCAGGCCTCAGCCCCAGGGATTGGGATTCAGTAGGTCTGTGGCCCAAGAAGCGGCTTCTTTTTCTTACTAAACTTTTAACTTTAGAATACTTTTAGGTTAACAAAAAAGTTGCAAAGAGTTTCCGTATGCCGTCACCCATTTTATCCTAATGTTAACATCTTACATTACCACACAGTACATTTGTCAGAACTAAGAAATTAGCATTGGCAGATTGCTATTAACTAAACTGCAGACTTCATTTGGGTTTCACCAGATTTTCCACTAATGGTCTTAATCCGTTCCAGGATCCAATGCAGGATACCACATTGCATTTAGACAAGCTGCATTTTTCACAGGCACTTTTAGCTGGTCAGAGGCTGGTGGATTGGAGACCATGTTTTGAGAAACACTGGGACACTTAAAGGACTGAACAAAGTCCAGTTGTCCCATCCCCAAGTTGGGGAGATGAATGCAATTTTGAAGGGTAAATTGGTGGAGGGGGTGGATATAGAAGTTTGATTTTGAGTTAGGGATGGAATCCCAATCTATTAGATGAGAGGGAATTACCTTGAGAAAGAAAGGAGGCTTCTATTTCTAATGCCAGATTAAATGTTAGGTTTTGAGAGTTTAGAAGGTGAGGATATCACCTAGTTCTCAACCTAGACTGTATATACACCTAGGGCTGTGAGCAGTTCAGGAGAGTTGGTGTCTAAGTTATCTAGTGCTGCTATAATAGAAATACCACAAATGAATGGCTTTGACAAACAGAAATTTATTCTCTCACAGTTTAGGAGGCTAGAAGTACAAATTCAGGGTGCCAGCTCCAGGGTAAGGCTTTCTGTCTCTGTCGGCTCTGGGGAAAGGTCCTTGTCTTCAATCTAACCATGGTCTAGGAGCATCTCAGCTTCGAGACCTGGGGTCCAAAGGACGCGTGCACATCTGTCTCGTCTTGTTTGGTAGTAACGAGGTCCTTGTCTCTCTGCTCGCCTTTCTCTTTTATATCTCAAGAAATTGACAGCTTAATCTTGTAGATTGAGTCCTGCCTCATTAACATAACTGCCTCTAATCCTGCCTCATTAACATCATAGAGGTAGGATTTACAACACATAGGAAAATCA